GGTGGACACCTGGGTTGCCTGGGCCAATCTTCAAGGCCCGAGGTCAACCTGACCTTCTTCCAGGCAAAGTGATCTCATTGGCCAATCCAAGTCACAAGCCCAAGCCCAGAGTCAGTGTGGGGAAGGGATCTACGCAAGTAAGGATTCTGAGAAGGGAGATTTGTTGGGGGTCGCTAATGTGATGATCTACCCCAATAGTCTATGCAACATTTCAGAAATTTATAACTGTGGGTTCACTGAATCATAGAATGGTGATGATGGAGACGTTGATAGTACTCATAATACTATTTTTAATAATGTATACCATTTTATTTAGTATTTATTTAGTCCAGGGGCTTAAATAATACGATGAGTAATTTGACTTTTTCAGCAACTCTGCCAGGTCAGTACCATCCCCAGTTTACGGATGAGGAAACTGAGGCTCAGAAAGGTGAAGTACGTTTCTCTAAGTGCATCTTGTGGCTGTAATTCCTTCTAAAATGGGAGAGGTAGGGCCTGAATCCTTCCTCCCTGGCCAAGAGATCTTGGGACAAAGCTACATCACGATTCCAAAGCCAGTCCTTCGACTTGCTGAATCCTAAGCAGCTTTCACTAAACAGCAGTTTGATGAGCTGAACAGGAGTGAATCAGAAACACGAGGTTGATGTTTGTCTTCATGCGCGCGGGGGTTTGGCAGTCTCCAGGCTCCCTTGGCGAGCAGGATTCGGGTGCTGCTAAAACCTGGAGCTCTGGCGTGATAGCATGACCCTTCCGGCCAGGCCAGGCCTGCCGCCTGCCTTCCTGCTGTTCAAATCAGAGGGTGGGAGGGAGGGAGACGCAAGAGGGAAGAGATATGGGAACATATGTATATGTATAACTGATTCACTTTGTAATAAGGCAGAAACTAACACACCATTGTGAAGCAATTATACTCCAGTAAAGATGTAAAAAAAAAAAAAAAATCAGAGTGTCGGCCTCTTGTGGCCTCTCCTGCTGCTTTGTCCCGCCCTTGAGCCCTGGGGACAGAATGGCAGGAGGTGTCGCCACAGCCCCATCACGTGTTGGGGAGAGATGGCACAAAGCACGGTTTCCTGGAGTGCTGTCAAAGCAGCAGTCCCCCCCGGGTGCCAGGAAACCCAAGCCTCGGAAACTGTGGCCGTAGGTTCCATCCACAGGCTGTGCTGTCGGTAAGAATCTCAGAGAGAGGAGGAATGTGGCCGAACAGGGGGGCGAGGCTCACCCAGGCAGACTGGGAGGTGACCTCGTCTGATTCCTCTAAGACTCCTTTTCAGGCTGCAAAAAGCTTGGAATGGATCTGGTTAATCAGGCTTTTTTTTTTTTGTAATTGCAAAACTTCTCAGAACCTTTCCTCTTCTGACGGGACATTCCAAGACCTGGAGCAGGACCGGAGCAGATTCAAGGTCATCGGACAGAGAAGCATTTTGGTGGGTGTTTTGCAGGACCGCTGTTCTGCGGGATGCACTAAAAGGATGCTGTTTTAAGTGTGTTCACCCTGAAAGTGCCACAGTACAAGCTCCACGACTGCAGAGATCTCATCTGTTTTATTCATATCCCTGGAGTCCAGCACCGTGTCTGGCTCAAGATAAGTGGCCAATAAATAGTGGATAAATAAATGAAAAAATGAATGCAGGACACTCACTGCTATCTTTCTTTCCCTTCCTCCATCTCCACTTCTTTCCTTCCCTCCCTCCCTCCTTTCCTTTTATTCCTTCCAAGTATTTACCAGGACAGACACTATGTTAGATCCTAGGGATGCATTAGTGAAACAAAACAGGTCTGCTGTGTGTTAACTAATTACTATTTTTCACTGCGGGGGACTGGCCACTTTTGCCCCAGCAGCTGGAGAAGGGTGAGAGGTTGAAGGCTGCCCAGACCCCTAGAGGACTAGGGAGAAGCCCCCTCATGGCAGGCTGGCTGCTTGTTTGCTATGGCCAGCCTCTTCTTGTTTCCTTTAATACCCTTTAACATGCCATTGTCCTGAAGACCCCAGATACCCCAGACCTGGCAAAGCAGGCCACTAGCCTCCACTTCCCTTTGCTGCTGCTGCTGCTAAAGCCAAGCACCGGCCTGGGAGCTCTGGGAGAGCAGGGCCACGTCTGTCTTGCTCACCAGGTACCTGGCACTAATGAATATTGGATGAATGATGAAGCCTGGGGACAGTGCTCATTGAAGACATAGGTCCATATCCAGAGGGGAGAATGAAACAAAAAAAGCAGTGGTCAAAGTTCTGGGAAGTTCCAGAGTTCTTGGTCATTGTCCCAGCTCTGAGTCTTGGGATGTTCCTTCCATAAGGGCTGCAGAACACCCCTCCTGGTCTCCCTTACTCATTCCTGAGGCTGCAGCTCAGCCAATGGCTCTCTTTCTCCCATTATGACCAACTCGTCTTCTGGGGACCCACAAACATCTCTTGGCCCAGTAGGGAGCCTTGCAGGTACTCTGCAAGAAAAAACAGCGTTGTTCTTTCTTAAGTGAGAAAGCTTTTGTGGGTTTAAGGTACAACTTGCTCCCAGTTAGCTGAATGTTCCAGGTCTCAGAGACTCGTGGGTGTCCTTGGGGACATCTGAATCTCATGTTGGCCCTTAGCACTTGCCTTTGGTGGTGACAGTGGTTGGTTCCATCAAATGGTGGAGCCGAAATCCCCTTGTTGGATTCAGGGCAAGGATGTGAAACATGGGGAAGGTCAACATTGTGTTAAAACAAGTGTGGAAACCAGCTTCAGATCGCAGTGTGGGGACTATGAGAAATGGGGTGCTGGGGGCTTCCTCTAACACAGAGCCCCCATGATATGCAGGGCACTGGGCTAGGCCCTGTGCTCATGCCTCACACAGTCCTGCAAGGCAGAAGTTGCTGCTCCATTTTACAGATGAGAAAATTGAATCTCAGTGCACAAAAGTGATACACCCAAGTCCAAGTTGCTGAAATGGGGTTTGAAATCAGGTGAGGAGAATCTGAAACCCAGGTGATTTTCAGACAATCTTCTGCCTCCTGTTATCAGAAAGGTGTCCTCCAAGGAGGCTTCCCATTGGCAACCTCCTCAGGTTTGATGATGGAAGGGGGAGGCCCAGGGGAGAGATGGGAATGGTGTGACTGAAGGCCCATGGGGTAGAGGAAAGGAGGAAAGCTACTCCTTCATTCATTCAGATAATGAGCATATCCCCTGGGCTCAATGCTGGGGATCCAGCAGAAAGAAACCCAGACCTTGAGTTACTCAGTAGGTAAGTAAGATATTTTTCAAGTATTACACAAATAAATGTAAATTGCATCTGTGAGCAGTGCTCTGAAGAAGTACAACGTGCAAAGAGATATTCTGAGAGGGTTCTGGCACAGTCACGGAAGTCAAGATGGCTTTCCTGAAGAAAGAATGCTTCAGCTGAGATCTCAAACATGAGTAGGGATTCGCGAAGGGATTGTGAAGGTAGAAGGGGAGGAGCAAGAAATATTCCCGAGAGTCAAATACATATGCAAAGGCCCTGGGACAGAAGAGATCCCGGTGCTCTCTGGAGAGCAGAGACCAAAGGGCTGGGTAGTGTCTTGAAGCTGGAGCACCGGAGCCCAGTGAAATAGCTTAAGCAAAGGAGAAGACATGATTTGAACTTGGAAAATACTTTCCTGATGATGTTTCCTCTTTACTGCTGGGAGTAAACTTGGCAAAAAGGGGCCGGGGGCTAATTGACAAGTCAATTCTTCTTGCCAGTCTTCAGTTTCCCGCCTCTCTAGAGTGAGTCTGAATTCAATGATTGATTATTTCCATCTAGTTTAGATGCTCTGTGACTCTTCCTGCCTCTCAATAGGACATTAAGTCCAGAGGCAAATAAATTTTCTTTCTCAATCTTTCTCTTGTACCATCTAACACAAATACTTGGAAGTGAGTTCCCCTGTGTATGTGGACCCATATCTGGAAATACCTAGAAAGGGGGTAGGAGCTGCCAACTTGGTAATGCCATGGGGCGATATCTATTAATTCTAAATATTTGCATGCTGTTATGCAGGGAGTCTGCCACTTGGCATCCTCTGCATGTGGGCAAAGGAGGAATATAAGAGGTTGTTATTTTAACATTGTTTACAAATAGTGAAAAAACTGGAGCCAACTGAAAAGTCCACACCTTGGCAACTGTTAAAAATTATGGCAAGTCCCTAGTAAGGAATGCTAAGTAGACTTTAAAAAAAAATGTGGAATCTATATACAACAAAATGGAAAACCGCTGAGACATTCTGGTAGGTTAAACTGCCAACTGTAGAAAGATATATTCAGTCTGAAAATACGTACGGGAAGACCTCTGACACCCAGCCTTTTCAATGAGCTTTGATGTAATACCTACATACCATACAAAACCCAGAGATCTGGAAGAAATATTTCACTGATAAGAGGTGTTACCTCTGGCCAGGGACCCAGGCTTGCAGGTGAACTCTGTCAAGGGGGGCTCTTCCCTTCTCAGTAATATTCTAATATTTTTAAAAAGAAGAATGCATTTGTATACTTCTTATGTAACAAAATTAATTAAAAGGTAAGATAGGGCCCTTGAAGATACTCAGGAAAATATTGACCAGATTTACTGTTGCAGAGGGTGTGGTGAGGGTACAGGGTAGTTTCCGATTCCTGTTTTTCTATAATTGATAGTCTTTACATTTTTCATATTGGCAATATATTTATACATTCGTGGTGCAAAAAAAAAAAAAAGGAAGTGGTTTTTCCAGTTTAGTTCTTCTGCAAGTGATCTCAGTAGCTAGGAGCTCTCAGAGGGACCTGAGGCCCAGGGAGCCATGTGACCACAGGCCAGTGTGCAGTGAGTCAGTGGGCGAGAGAGAAAAGGCCACCCCTGGCGCCCAGCCGCGTCACGTGACGCCAGAGCACAGCAAACTGGCTTGTTTTGCAACCCAGGCAGGTCCTATAACCACAAGCCTGCTGGCTGGCCCCATGCGGCGGGGGGAGATGATGCCAACTCTCTTCCCTCGAATGACTCATTCTCCTTCCCGCAATAGCTGGGGGAGGATGTGGAGAAGTTGGGCTCCGGGACAGAGGCTACTGCCCATAAGCCCTGCCAGGCTGGGTGCTCTGGAGGGTGATGGGCCTCAGGGGCCTTTGGGGGAAGTCCCCATGGGGCTGCTGCTCTCAAATGCAGATGAACACAACCCTGGACTCTTTTTCAGACCACAGACCACCACATCAGTGCCTGCATGGTGATGGTGAGGAGGGCCTTTGGAAGGTTTCCATCCAACACTTCTTGCCTATTGTGACCGGGGCAGTGTGGTCATGAATCGTGATAACTTCTAAGACAGGGCTTGCTAGCTCCATTACGCAGATGCAGAAACGGAGCCTCCATGGAAGTGACTTGTCCAAGGTCTAAGATCCAAGCTGGTAAGTGGCCGAAATGAGATTGGAAACCAGGTGTGTTTGGAATCCAGGGCCCAGATGGCTTTCACTGCACTCTGTTTGCTTCCTTTGGTTAGATAGGTGTGTGCTCACAGGGCCGTGCCCGTGGAGGCCGCTTCTCATGGGTCACACTCTCTCGTTTCCTGGTGGAAGGGGAAGGTCGGGAGAGAGAAGTGGGAGGTCCTCCGAGGTGGCAGTGAGGAAAATACACACCATTTCTGGGCACTTCCCTGCCACGTCTGGACTGAGCACTGTACTTTCATACGCTCCTCGGTCCCCTCAACAACTGGTGAAACCATCGTCCCTGTTTTGCAGGTGGGCAAACGGAGGCTCAGGGAATGAAATGACTATCTAAGGCCACAGCTGGCCAGAGCAGACAGGGTTCAAAGCCAGGTCTATCTGATTCCGGAGCCTACCCTCTGTAGTCAACCAGAAGCCCTTTCATCTTTCAGGCACACATTCCCTGTGAGGCCCAGCCCACGGCTCTCCTTTCACTCTTCTGTCTAGTCTAGTCCACGAGGCAAGATCTCATTCATCCTTCAATACCCCAGGTGTATCACCTCCTCCAGAAAGCGTTCCTAGCTCCGCAGAGAGAGATTCTCACAATCCCTCCATAGCTCTTTACTGACACATGCCACCAGGTTTAGAGACACTTCTGACTTGTTTATTTAGGGGACTGTGAGTTCCTTTAGGGTAAAGATAATGCGATGGTTAATTTTATGTGTCAACTTGGGCTAAAGGATGCCCAGAGAGCTGGTAAAATATTATTTCTGGTGTGTCTGTGCGGGTGTCTCAAAAGAAGATTAGCATTTGAATGAGTAGACTGAGTAAAGATCACCCTCACCAATGCGAATGGGCATTATCCAACTCACTGAGTGCCCTAATGGAACACAAAGGCAGAGGAAGGGCAAATTTGCTCTCTTCCCTTGAGCTGGGATGTCCATCTCCTCCTGCCCTCGTACATTGGAGCCTCTGGTTCTCGGAACTTCCAACTTGGACTGGAACTCCTCAGGCCTTCAAACTCAGACTGAATCACACCACCAGCTTCCCTGGTTCTCTAGCTTGTAGTGGGTGGATTGTAGGATTTCTCAGCCTCCACAGTCATGTGAGCCAATTCCTATGATAAATCCCCTCTTACATATATCTCTGTATATCCTATTGGTTCTGTTTCTCTGGAGAACTCTAATACAGATGGCGTCATGTTCCTCAATTATTTTTAAACTCCTTTGAGCATGTTTTGCCATCCATAGGTTAATGCAGTGGTTACATCACAGGCTTTATGGACACATAGATCTGGGTTTGAATCCCAACTGCTCTGGCTGATGTTGGGTCAATTCCTTAACTTCTCTCAGGTGCATGTGTAAACTGGACATGCTAATTGTCTACTTCTCAGTGTTGTTGTAAGGATTAAGTGAAATATTTATCTAAAGTGCTGAGCACATTAATACCATTAACGCAGCATCACTGCCCTGGTCAATATGGCTGTCCTGATGCCATTGTAAGGACCGGGTTAGAAGCTTTGACAGCTACCCATGATTTATAGCTCCATCCCCTGAATATACCATTCCTTATTTTTCAGAAGGTGGTGGTTAACTCTCACATTTACAGATGAAGAAAGTGGGTCAACAGATGAGCTGATCAAAAATTTATAAACAAAAATTTGCATAAAAAGGAAACGTAAAGAGTAATCAAGCACTTAAAAAATGTTCATTCTTAATTCTGACCAAGGAAATTTACATGAATTATATCTACCACATAAGAAAAAAGCATGATCTTATTAATGCCCAATGCTGGTGAGACTGGGTTGAAAAATCATACACGCAAACACTACTTGCGATCATCCAAATTGTTACAAACTTTGGGGATAATATGATACTATATTGTCACATTCTGGTACTTATCTTGAGAAAATCATCTTGAAGAAAGGAACACCTATAAGCAGAAGATGTTTGTCACATCAGGATCTATAAAAGCAAAACCCAGGTAACACTCGAAGGACCATTTACAGGGGATGGTAAGTCAAATCGTGGTCTTTAATGTAATTGTCAATTATGTCAATGATGAAGGCCTCCTAGAATCATACTTTAATTACATTAAAGATGTTTATAGTACAGTTATCTGGATAGCAGGATGTGAACTGGAATTTACCCCGGGAAGGCAACTGTGTGAAATTTATGTGAATGTGGGCAAGGACAGAAAGCTCAAAGGTAAAGAGAGTTGTGGAGGGGAGGCAGGGAACCTGTGGATTGTCTCTGCTGCTCTTGTTGGACTGAGTCACTGTTCCCGGGTCACCCTGTGAGTGACCAGGAGAAGTCCCTGACTTTGGGATTTCACGCCCAGGGTCCATCCCACCAGGCTGTCCAGCCCCTCTCTGCATCTCCTGCAGCCAGGTCACCCCAGCAACTCCTCAGGTATAGCTTCTACGCAGGCCTCAAGACACAAGTACCGTCGGCTTCCATTCTCGGATGGCTGACTCCACAGGTTCGGAACGTGCAGATACAGAGGGCCCACTCTTAGGCCAGTATTATATAAGAGACTTGAGCAACCTCGGAGTTTGTTACCTAGTTTGGACCCATGGGGGTCCTGGAACAAATCCTCCCTGGATACCAAGGGATGACTGTACATGGGTCTCTTGTCTGGCTCCAAAGAGCTGTCTGGTCTTCCCCAGGGACTTCCGGGAGGCCAAAGCACTCTGATTTTGACTGGAAGCCCCACCCCCACCCCGACCCCCGCATGCTCTCCAGCGTTGGTCAGCAGGGGCTGATCTCGCTCAAAGGCTCCTGAGAGCACTTTCTATAGAGGCAAGAGCCCTGCCTGGGAGGGAGGTTGCGTTAGTCCTAATGGGGCCAAAGCGACCCGTTAACTTGGGAACTTTGCCTGAGAAGCACACGTGGGAATCATGCACTCTTTTCCACAGAACCATTTCCAACTTTAGACAAAGCGAAGTCATGGATGGAACCTTTTCTGTCTGAAAGGAACTCCAAAGGGGTCCTTAAAGCAGAGTCGCTCCCTCGCCACCCTCTTCCCAGGATCCTCTTCAGCCTGGCTGACCCCCTGGGGGCCTCAGAAGCAGGCTCTTACCTGCCGCCTCCACTCCTATCTCCGTCACAGGTGGTCTCTACCTTTGCACAGCTGCTGAGGAGGGGTGCACATTCCAAATCAGCACCCAACCCTGCCACGAAATCATGCTCATTCAACCTGGGTAACTTAAGTATCTGGAGAGGAGTTCTTGTGAATGACTTGCCTTCATGGTCATCCATCCATCCATCCATTACTCAACTATGAAGCGCCACCTACTCTATACCAGACATGATTCCAGACCCTGAGGATATGGCAAGACAATGGTAGCCCTGGGAGTGGATAACACACACGTGAATAATAAAAAGCCAAGAAGTCTTATAAAATAAATCAACTGGGTGTTCTTTGCTGAGGGAGAACAACAGGCAGGAGTGAATAGAACAGACTTCCAGTTGCGTGGAGTGGCCACCGGAGACCTTTCTGAGGACGTCTCAGTTCAGCAAAAGCCTGGAAGAGGAGAAAAGGCCAGCGATGCAAGAAGCTGGGCGAAGAGGCGTCCAGGCAGAGGCACAGGGAGCAAAGGTCCGAGGCAGGAACTGGGTGCTGAGTAGCCTCGGTACAGCTCGCCTTGCTTCTCTCACCCTTCTTTCTTTTCTGTCTCTGCTTTCTCTCTTTCTCCCAGTCTCATGGAACATTTGGTCTCCAGCCTTATTTTGGCGCCTGATTTACTTAGTCTGAGTCTGGCTCTGTCTCTGTTTTCTTCACCCCTCTGACTCTTTCAGTCTCCCTAAATCTGAATAGGCTTTTCTCAGTTTTTGTCTTTTCTCGAGTTCCCTGCTGTTTCCTCAGTGCCTTTGCCTCTCTCTCTCTCTCTCTCTCTCTCTCTCTCTCTCTGTCTCTGTCTCCATCTAACTTTGGTTCCATCTCTCTCCGTGTGCTTTCTGCTCCCCTGCCGATGTCTCTTCTCTTCCTGAGCTGAGGCCACGGGGTAGACCATCTGACTGATATTGCTACTGACAACTAAAGCCTTGAAATCATTCCCACCATGCATCTCTGGGAGGTGTTAAGCCATCGGTGTTTTGTCTGTACCCGAGAAAGACAGGGGTTTTTAAACAAATATATACATTCTCAGAAGTCCCAGCAATTGTATTTCTCCATCGATCCATCATGACGTTGAGTAAGTGTAAAAGCTTCCCTGGTGCCTGCAGGGGGATTACAGGCTGAGCGGCTGTGCTGGGGAGGGAGGGGGGAGGGAGAGGAAACTGTCCCAAAGGGCCCGGCCGGGGCCTGTGGTCCAAGTACCTGACAGAGACGCTCATCTCTAGATGGGAGAGAGATTACTTCTCGTTGGGGGTGTCAGAGAAAGCTTCACGATGCCGCAGTGTCGCCTCCCCTGTAAAGCCCTCCTGACCACCTCTGCCTCAGGGAAGTGACAGCTGACCTTCTTTGTTTCTACTTTACTGTGTTGGGATGTGCTGTGCTGTGTTCCAGCACTGGAAATCTGAAGGGTCTTTATTTGCCTACAAATTCCTCTTCCCCTCTGGACTATGAACTTTGTGCAAACACCATTCATGGAGTACTCAACTTCCCCCCCCACCAGGGGCCATCCTGCAGGCTCTGTCCTGTCTGGCTTAGCCAGTTTCCAGTGAAATGCTCATGGGACAGGGGGGTCTATGCAAGTAACACATGGCAGATGACACTTAGTAGGCTTTGGAAAAGTGCCTCAGTTTCCTCACCTCTAAAATAAGGGCATCAGTGAAACACTGCAGTGAAGCACTTAGATCATTGTAGTAAATGCTCAGTGACGTGAGCTCTCCTTACTGTCCCCACCATGGTCTTCTTCATGCTCAGCATAAGCAGAGTCATCCAACTCTTCACTCTTAGGTACCACGCAGTTAATTGGCTATGGAATCCTGGCTCTCTTCATTATGAATAGATAGATTACGAGTTTGGGTGCAAAAGCCTAGTTTTGACATGTGTCAACATTTTTATTCTCCCAAATATGTTCTTTCACACCCTGGATCTCTGCCCAGTGATCTTTGAAGAACTCAGGGATATGCTTGGACATAAAGGAATGTGAGTTCTTCTCTTTCTCTTTCTTTGTCTCCTTGGTCTGGAAAGACTTCTCTGCTGTGTGACTCCTTCCCTAGCTCCAGGCTGGCCCAGTGCCTGAAGCCCAGCCCTTGCAGAGTTTGGGCAGAGCCAGACAGCCCCCTTTCATGTTGCCATAGCTGCTCAGCCCTCTCTCCATCTGATCATTTGACACAGTGTTTTGGGATGCTCAGTTGATTTGACTCTAGAACTTTTTATCACTTCTCTGAGCCTTAGCTTCCCCAAGTGTAAAATGAGAGTATCTTTTTTTAAAAAAAAACTTATTTATTTTTTTAAATAGAAGTATAGTTGTTTTACAATGTTGTGTTAATTACTGCTATACAGCAAAGTGATTTAGTTTTATATATATATATGTATATTCTTTTTTAAAAATACTTTTCCATTATGGTTTATCATAGGATATACATTTTTTGGTTTCATCGCTTTTAATGGGGCATTTTAATATCATAGGATATTGAACATAGTTTTCTGTGCTATACAGTAGGACCTTGTTGTTCATCCATTCTATATATAAAAGCTTACATCTGGTAACCCCAACCTCCTACTTCATCCTTCCCCCAACCCCTTCCCCCTTGACAACCACCAGTCTGTTCTCTATGTCTGTGATTTTTTTCTGTTTCATAGATAGATTCATTTGTATCATATTTTATATTCCACATATAATTGATATCATACGGTATTTGTCTTTCTCTTTCTGACTTACTTCACTTAGCATGATAATCTCTAGCTGCATCCATGTTGCTGCAAATGGCATTATTTCATTCTTTTTTATGGCTAAGTAATATTCCATTGCATATATGTACCACATCTTCTTTATAAATGGGAGTATCTTATAGCTTAAATGTGAAGCTTAAATGAGATAATGTGTGAAACATGCACTGAGTCTCATAGTTGACAAATTTGAGTTCTCTCTCCCCACATGAATGTAAACTTCAAGGGTAAAAAGCTCTATCTGATTCAACTTTGAAGCCCTAGAACTGGGCTGTCCAATATGGTTCCCACATGTAGCTGTTGAGCACTTGAACTGTGGCTGGTCCAATTGACCTGATCTGTGGCTGTAGGATACACACTGGATTTTGAAGACTTAGGATGCAAAGAGGAATGAAAAGTAACTGGTTAGTATATTTGTATTGATTACATGTTGAAATCCAAAATACATGATAGTCTTTTGGATAAATTGAGTTAAATAAAGTTAGTGATTGTATTAAATAGTATTTAAATAAAATTAATATGTATTAGACAGCATTTATATTTTGTGTTAAAATAAATACATGAAATGTATTAAAATACTTACACTGTAACGAAAATTGTTACTAAATAATATAATGATTATTTGCATTGATTTCACTTGTTTCTTTTTTATTCTTTAATGTGGCTACTAGAAAATTTAAAATTGCTTATTTGACTCACATGGCTCACATTATAGTTCTTTTGGATAGGGTTGCCTTAGAACATGGTAAAGAATCTGCTTAGCACAAGTGAGCAATACATGTGGATGGGATGGATGGATGGATAAATGAGGAATAAAAACAAATGAAGGGATAGATAAATGAATTAAAAAATAAAAGAATAAATGGACAAATGAACAGATGGAAATAGATAAATGGGTAGATAAATTAATACATGAATGGGAGGATGGGTGGATGGGGTGGGTGGATAGAAGAATAGGAGAAAGAATAAGTAGAATTGGTAATGGAATGAAAGAAATAAAACAAGATAATCAGTGGATGAATAAATAACTAAAAAGATGAAATAAGCAAGTACTTAAGTACAAAAACAAATACATACATACAGAAAGAATAGATGCCCAGGGAGTCCAGGACTTGGCTTTGACAAGAAGGTTTATTCTTCTTCCTGGGCTCATGGAGTTTAAGCCTTTGACTAAGAAGAAAGGTTTACCCTTGTTCTTGTGGAATTTATTATTTTAATTGTTAGCCTTCATGAGAGGTTATTGGAATTTTTTCCCCCTCAGACTGTTTATCACTTGTAAATTATTTGTCACATCATTGCAATTCTATCCAGATCCTTAACTTTCTCATCATGCATCTTTTATGGGGTCTCCGTTAAAGAAGCACTATAATTACGTGTCGAGGGTCCCAGTAAATTTTATCAGGGTGTAAAATATTATACTTTAATTATTTGGAAGGGGAAGGAAGGCAAATGTTCCCTCTGCGAGACTGATGATCAATACTGCAGGGCCCTGGGTGGCACAGGCAGCTTCAGGCGTCCTCTTCTTCTTGTCCCTCCCAGAGGGTGTGCCACCTGCCCCAGCAGCGTCTGTACAGAGCAAGGGGACCCTGTGTGTTGATGACTCTTTTTTGATTCTCTGGTGGATGTTGGGCCATGATAAACATAAGCCTGCATCCTTGAAGTGGTCTCATTATGCTCAGCAGCTCCAAGGGGTGGTTGGAGAGGATGCTCTTATTTTACCCTTTCACAGATGAGGAAACTTAGACCCAAGAGCAATTAGAGATGGTCCTGTAACTGGTTTTCCTGACTCCATGGTAGATTTTTTTTCCTCACTGTGCCACACCTGCTCTTATGAACTCAAACCAGAGAACATATATGCACTAAGGGGGTTGGGGTTTTGATATTCTCAAGGGTTTTAGAGTAGAAATGTGATGGCACCAGACCTTTGCATCCAACATTTTTTTCATGGAAATAAATACTTCAGCTGAGCTCCCACTCTGTGCCAGACCCTGGTGCTGGAGTGAAACAATAAGCAATGCAGACAAGTCCAGGCTCCTCTGGGGCTTGCGGTCTCCTTGGGGAGACAGGCATTGGTCCAATCTTCCCACAGACCATAGAAATTTCACTGTGGCAAGTTCTAAGAATGAGGGGGTCTATGGGACTTTGAAAGTTTAAAAACAGGGGCTTTTAATGAGTTGGGAGGCCAGAGAAGACTTTCCTGAGGGAATAAGTGATCTGAGATCTGAAGGATAAGTAGGAGTTAATTAGGTAAATTGTGTGTGTGTGGGGAGTATTCTAGGTAGAGGGAAGAGCATATGCAAAGGGCCTGTGGTAGGGAAGCCTGGAAAGTAATCCAGGGTGGCCAGATCAGAGTTACTGATGGGAGACTGTGAGATGAGGCTAGAGAGGTATCAGGAACCACGTCACATAAGGCCTATTGGCCCATGTTAAGACTTTTGGTTTTTATCCTAAGAGCACTGACAATTCGGGTAAAGGTTTAGGTGAAGAAAAGAGATGTTTTAAAAGGTAGTTCAGACAAGGGAAGACTTGTTGCAGGAGAAGGGAGGAGTGATCTCATGCTTGCATGGATGTCAGGAAATGCGTTTCTTTAAGCACAGGGGTAAGAAGAGGAGGAAGGAAGGGGAGGAGGATTAATCCCCACTCACCCCTCTGGTCTTGGCTTCGATGTCATTTCCTTGGGGAGACCTCCCCTGGTCCCCAGTTGGGTCATGTCCCCCGCCCCAAATGGTGGTCCGCCCTAAATGGTGGTCCCCACCCTCCACTTCCCCTTTCACAATGCACAACACTATTGTTGCCATGTCTTAATGGTCTCTTCCCCTCATTGGATGTGGCGCCCATCCATAAGGGCAGAGGTTGGGAGTGTCCTGATCTAGCTTCTAGTGACCGGACTCTCAGCCTGGGACCTGGCACATAGCTGGCAGGGAACACCAAGAGCTGAATGAGCTAATGAATGAATGGGGAACTCAAGAGAGATTAAATTTATCCGGGGCACATTTCCTCCAGACTCTTCCCTCGTCCTCCCTCTCCTTCTCCCTTATCTACTTCCTTTTTTTAAACCTAAAGCTGAACGCCTCCAAAATTCCTGCCCAGGGGCTCTCACCTGAAAGAAGTGATGGACACATGAGAAAATTTCTTAGCTCTGGATCTGAAATACCAGTTTTGCCCAGAAAGGGTTGCCATGCGTATGTTCATTGTACAGATGAGCTACTTTGATTCAAGAAATAAGATGACTTGGTCAAGACTTATGAGAAGGAAGATGATAGTGCAATTTATGAAACTTCTCCATGTCACCCCTTTAGGGTGACTCATCTTGTTACTAGGTTCGCTGCTAATTATCTCAGGGTGAACATTGTTTGGTGAACTCTGTGGTTATGAAGCTGGTGAGATCCCTAAGAAAATTTTCTGCCTAAGGAAAGTTGTATTTATATCAATAATAATAATACTTATGCTAATAGCAAGCATTTATGCCAGGAACTTTCCGAATCCTTTGCAACAGGGGGTCTATAGCCCATGGCCCACAGGCCAAATCCTGTTTTTGTAAAAGAGGTTTTATTGGAACACAGCCATGTCAATTTGTTTATGTATCTACTTCCTTGCTGCCATGGCAGAATTGAATAGTAGTGACAGAAACTGTGTGGTCCTCAAGGCCTGAAATGTTCACTATTGGCCTCTCACAAATAATGTTGCCAATTTCTGCTTTATATTCGTTATTGCGACATGATGACGTTAAGTCTCATTTTCTGCATTTTACAGATAATGAAACTGAGGCTCACAGAGGACAAATAATTTCCTTGAGGTTTCATGGAGACTAGAACCCAGAGAGTCTATCTTCAAAACGGTTTTCCTGGTGTGCTCTCCTGGAAGTGACAAAGTCAGTCTGACCTTGAGGGAGAAGGCCAGAGACTGATCCTTAACAAATTCCAGAATTCCAAAAACTGAATGCTCCAGCAGGATTTTCTTTTTTGGGGCAAACGCTCTGATTATCCATCATTACATAAAGATACCCCACGAAAGGTAGCTGAAAACAACAACAATCATTTACTTTGCTCCCAAATCTACAATTTGAGCAGGGTTTGGAAGGAACAGCTGTTCTCCGTACAGCGTTAGCTAGGTGGCTCGAGCGGGGCTGAGGATCTGCTTCCAAGATGACTCATGCCCTGCTGGCAGGTTGGTTCTGGCTCTTGGTTTCTCTCCACAGGAGCCTCTCCACAGCGTGTCTTGGGCTTCCTCACAGCATGGTGGCTGGGTGCTAAGAGTTAGCATCCTAAGAGACGGGAGGGGAGATGGGTCAATTTCTTAAGGCCCAGGCCTGGAAACAGCACAAGGCCACTGCTGCCATGTGCTATTCGTCTGGGTATCCTAAACCTGCCTAGATTCAAGGAAGGGGGCAGAGACCTCATCTCTCAATGGGAGAAGGGTCAAAGGGTTTGGGGGCCATATTTGAAAAACCCCACAGCAAATATTAATATTCATTTTAGGGGTCCCTTGGACCATCACTTTGATCCAGTATAATCTATCCACGGTTAGGGTGACCTAATAATTTCTTGTCCAAACTAGGGGACACTAGCAGAATGAAAAGGGATGCCTTGAATAATGATACCAGGCAATGAGTGCAAAACAGAACTGCCCTGGACAAATCAGGTGTATAGTCACCCTAACCCTGGGGACAGTAATTAATGTTTTCATGATGTTCCTAAGTCATCTTGGGAAGGTTCTATTAGGACAGCTGTGTTCTGTTGAAGTAAGAGACACATTTAGGAAAATCTTGAAAAGTTGCTTAAAAATAAAGGGTGATGTTTTGCAGATGTGAAATCTTCAGTTATCTGGAAAACCCATTTAAACAGAGCTTCTGTTTTCCTGGATCTTTCAGTTAACCATACTGCTTCTGTGAGATATGCCACCTTCAGACGCAGAGCACCCCTGAATATTACTGGCTGTTGCCACTTGGCACCCCTTCTGACCGCTCACTCCATGCTTGACTCTGTGCTATTTTCTGGAAAAGCAGAGATGGGTAAAACATTGTCCTGACCTCCAGATGCTTACGACTTATTAGGCAAGATAGTCCAGTCAATAGGTCATTGCAGTGCTGTGTGATAGGGGCAATCAGAGAAGTAAAAACCAAGTATTATGGTTTTTACCCCCCCAAACATAAAACAAATAAACAGATAAATGGAAAAATCCAGGAAGATTTCCCAGAGGAAGCGACATTCAATTTGGATGATTTATTTATTTCTCGATGACCTAGTATGTCTCGGGAAGCTTGCTAAGCATTTTATGTGTATCATCTCATTTAATACTTGGAAAACCCTCCTGTGAGGTGGACATCATTACTATCCCCATTTTACAGATGAGAAAACTGAGGCTCAGAGAGGTGAAGTACCTTGCTTCAGTTTATACCAGTAGCAAGTAGCAGAAGTAGAGTAGGTGCTAGAGAGAGAGGGACGAAGGATGAGTAGGAGTTTCTAAAGCCTCAGAGGAGATGGCATTTGAGGCAGGGGGACCAGCAGCTGTAAGGACAGATGTGTGGTATAAAGCTTGAGAAGGCTGGGGTGCAGCCGACCATTTGGTCTAGGGCATAGCTGGGGTGGACGGGGTGCAGTGGGGTCCTGGCTGGGAAAGGACTTGCATCACAGAGTCTTGGGTCTTCCCTCACAGGTACTGGGCCTCCTTCTGAGTGTTGAAACATAGAAGGGGAGGAATATTACATTTAGCCAGCACCGGGCACCTTGAGCTTGGGCCCCTCGGTATTCTGGGTGTGATCTGTGGATTGGCAGCATCACACAGGAGTTGCTTAGAAAGGCAGTATCTCAGGGCTCACCTCAGACCTACCAAGTCAGAATCTGCAGGTTAACAACATCCCCGGGTGGTTCGTAGGCACATAAAAAATTTGGAAGCACTGATCTAGCACACGGCAGTTCACAGAGTCTGTAACTTTAATCATATTTGCTCACAGTTAAGATCTTCCACCGAGAGCTTCCAATTTTAAAAACCTGAGCTTTGGGGAAGACCGGAGGTCAGTAACATCAAATAACTGAGATCCTCCGTTAGATCTGCTTCTCCTGATTGTTCCAGTGACTGCAGCCTGGACCCTTTGCACTGGAACTTGAACCAGCCCTGGTTCTCACCCACCTCCCTCCACGAACTCTAAGCATGTCTGTTCAATGACAGTTTTATGGGCCACTTGCAGACATCACGGGTCATGGAGCCTTCATTCCCTGAGGGTCCACAGTGTCATAAGACAGGGCACTAGTCCCTGGGGGCAGATACAGAGATGAACAGACCTACCTTGTCCAGATCACATAATGACTGAAGACATGGATGTTTTACTAGGACAGGGGCTTTCTCTGGCTGAGGTTAGGGGCCGGGAGCCTGAAATTGATCCCTTTGGCAGTCAGAGTCCCTGCCCATTAGGAGATGCTTTGGGCATCAGTTAGGGTTGGGGGATGGGGGGAAGACTGGGGGTGGGTGTCAGCAACCAGAAGTCTCAGGTTACAGAGATGTTGGCCCTTGCATTTTCCTCCTGGCCCTCAGGGAGGCTTAGTTATCTCTTGAAATCAGAAGTAGTGATGCTAGTGAGAAAGGGAGCTGACCCGATATCTCCATCTTTCCTTCTTCCTCTGTAAGCTGTTCCATGAGTACCCTCGCCCCATGCCAGCCTGTGCTGGTCTCTAGGGGTGGGGAGGGCAGAACTGGTCCCTGATCGCAGAAGCTCCCAATCTGGTGGGAGGGAGGAGAGGAGACAAGCAAAAGGATTGCAAGTGTCATGGTTTAAAGGCCTCGAGAGAGGGAAGCGGTCAGGGCTGGGGGAAAAAGAGGAAAGAGTCTCTCGTTCCCAGTGGAAGATGGCTCTGCCTTTTGCCATCTTTATGTCTTTGAGCAAATATCACAGCCTTTTGGATCTGATAGTCTGATCCCATGTCAATGTTATACTAATTTCCCCTTTCAGAGTTTGGCTGAGGACTCGGTGTGGTGTGTGGAAGTGCCCAGGTGAGGATGTTGCACAAGGTAGGGATTCGTACACTCCTGGACCCTAACCTCAGACTCCAAGCTGAGCCAGTCATCCTGGTGCACCCGGGGCTGTAAGCTGAAGGGTCTGGTTTCGTTTCCCAAACCACACTTGCCCAGAGCTCCTCCCTGTTTTGCAGGGAAGTGACCTTTCTCACGTGCTGAGAGATGCATGTGATGCTGGCGTGCCCCAGGCGATGAAAGGATCTTGCAAAACTCATGATTTTCTCATTGCTGCAGCGGAATGAAAGGGAGAGAGGAAGTGGGCGCCCCTCTTTCCTGCATGCTCTGCAGGGATCTACTTGCTTTGGGATCTTAAGACCATTTTTAGGAAGATGGATACTGGTTGGTCCAGGCCTTGCCATGAAGGTCTTTCTTCCTCTCTTTTTCCTTCTCTCCCTTCCCTTGCTTCTCTTCCTCTTTAATAACACAGCTTACTTCCTTGAACCTTCCCCCGTAGTAGTGAGACAGTGAATACATCCAGGCTCTGCTGGGCTTGGCAGGAGGGCTGGACAGATGATGGAGAGCAACAAGGCATGAGACTGGTTCACGGAACTTCCAGAAGCTTCAGAGACCTGGAACACATAGGCTGTAGCACCCATGGGGGGTTTAGACCCATTGGAGGAAGTGCGCAAGTCAGGACCGCACTCTTCCTGCCATTGGCCAGACTCTACCCATCCTTGAATGCTCAGCTCAGAGATGTTTGCCCCTGAGAATCTGCTTTGCTTGACAACCCCATGGTCTTCAGTCTCAGCAGTAGGTGATGACTAACCCCTTCCTGGGAGCAGCCAGGACTCTGTGGTCCTCTGAAGAGAGCTTGAGTAATGGGTGCCCTTCTGCACTGTGGCTCAGCCTCCTGGGTGACCCACACCACACACTCTCGTGACACCCACACACATGCACGCTCTCCTGCAGACCCACTGTGTGTTCACATTGCCTTTCACCCATCCACACACTCCCACACACCCCACAGGTACAGGCACCTGCATCACGTGGCTCCCACTTCCCCCGCAAAGCATGTCCCACTCACCGTCTCCAGCAGGGAGTTTTATTGCCTAAGCTCCCAGGTGTCCGCAGGCCTGACACTGGCAGTAACTGAGTGGGCCCTTTGGTGACACTTCCATAAAACCTCGTAAATCGCCTCTGGGCAATGTCGGGTGCACATTTTTATTTTCCTCAATAAATACACACATTCTTATTTCTTAACAGCTCCAGCCTTGGCTGAGGGCCCAGCCAAGGGGTCCACTTTCTGTGATTTGGCTGGGATGCATTGTGGACAGGAATGGGGACCACTCTGTTGGTTGTTTGAGGCCCAAGATATCCTCGGGGTCTGATTTGAAGGGGACATTAGAGGTCATTTTCTCCAGTTGCAAATCATACCCCTTGCCTTGCAAGCCATTCATCTTTTTACCTATTCACTTTTCCACCTAAACTCTTTTACCGAGGTTTTAGGCAAGGACTACTATTAAGCCTGTTTTTCTCGACGTGGAAGATAAGAGAAATTAAGTGATGCTCAAAGCCAGGTCCTGGGAATCTGCATTTACAAAACTGTTCTGGCTCCTTCTGATGTAGGTGGCTTTGGTCAAACTTAGGGAATAAAGGTCCTTTATGATTATGACTTGGGTCTTAGGGTATAGACCATATTTTACTCTTTCTTAAAATAAAGCCACCTTGGAAATAATAACCTTGAAGAAGTAAGGAGCAGTTCCAAGGACAAACACTTTTTACCCAGAAACCTGATGGAACTTAAAGCTTTAAGAACTCTGGTGTTGACCCTCCAGAGAGGGTGGCTGAGGCCAGGCTGTCTGCCACCTTCTACAGCCAGGGCAGCCCATCACCTCTCCTGGCCTTGCTGTAACTTGGATGCACTGTCACCTGCCCCTCCTTAAAAAATAATTCCATTACTTACAAGCTGATAAATCTTTACCCCTTACAAAGCTCTTCCAGGGGGCTGTTCTCATTTCCACTTTACGAACTGGGAAGCAGAGATGTCAAAGTAGAGTTTCACTGCTGGTAAATGGTAGAGCCTGGGCTACGAATCCAGCTCTCCGACCTCTGATAAAGTTTGTTTATTGTTTATTGCCCAAATATTAACTACTGTTCTCCTGATTTTAAGGAAGGGGTTGGAGGGCAGTGAGCTTCCAGGGGGCCAATGGGATGTGTGTTAAGAGTCCTAAGGCTGCATGGTCCCTTCCCATGAGATCTCATAGAAATGGGTGAAGGCAGAAAAAAGGGAAGTGAAGGCTGGGGTCAGGGATGGGAGGGGATAGGAGGGTTTCTCACTCAGCACTTCCTTATTTTGTGCCATCAAATAATACTAATTCAGGGCTTCCCTGGTGGTGCAGTGGGTGGGAGTCTGCCTGCTGATGCAGGGGGCGTGGGTTCGTGCCCCGGTCCGGGAGGATCCCATGTGCCGTGGGGCGGCTGGGTCCGTGGGCCATGGCCGCAGGGCCTGTGCGTCCGGAGCCTGTGCTCTGCAACGGGAGAGGCCGCAACAGTGAGAGCCCTGCATAACGCAAAAAATAAATAAATAAATAAATAATAATAATACTAATTCAGTACCATGTCTGGAAGGGAAGAGTGGAAGGTAAAACAATGGGAGTGGAAGCCTATTCTCTGAGGCTTTTAAAGTTAAAACGTGGCCAGGGTGGAAGAGAGGGAGCTATAGAGCTCGCATCTTGGCTGTGATTTGGTATTCTGGGAGGTCCATTACAACGGAGCCATCAATAGTCTATGAAAGCTGCAGAGAAGAGAAGGGCGTGGACCACAGGAGAGGCCCATCAGCTCTGATGCACCTGCTTCTCTCCATGGGAAGCCCAAATCATGCTGCCAGTAAGAGGGGTGGGGAAAGTTCTTGCCTCTGGGGAATGCCCACTGAGTGGGGTGCCCGAGCAGATGCACACGACCAATCACTCACAGATTCCATGCTCATCTGAGAGGCTTCCAGAGCACACTGGGGGAAAGATAATGTTATCCTGACTCTTTTGACCTACCCATGCAACAGCTATAAGCTCTGGCACTGCAGTCTGTTTCCTGAAGTCCTGCGTCGCCCGGATCCCTGTTAGCATGTATTTTTGCCATAGGCATCTTTGCCGAGAGCCTAGAAGGTGCAGAGTTGAACCCACATTTCCCACAGAACTTTGGAACGTCTATCAGCGGACATGTGATAATATGTCAAGAACACACAGCGGTGTAGCAGTTTTCTCAACGCAATAGAAAGCTCAATTACAAACATGCATACTAGTGTTTGGAGATTGATACCTCTCTTAATGAAGGAAGAAATTCTGATGAAAAAGAAAAAGTGTGGTGCTGAAAAAGAAGATGGATCAGCAAGCAGAAAATGTATAAAATACTATGAATGAAAGACTTGGAAGACAAGTGCTTCGGTAAAACCCACAAAATAAAATCAGTTATTTGTGCAGTCTTGCCATGAATCTACACACATTTTAAATTCATTCAAATGTTTTGTATTTTGCAATAAAGTCTTTTAAATTTTGTTATTCATTTCTCATGTTTCATTACATCCTTTTTAATGTCCCTTTTTAAATTTTTCATTATTTTATCTTTTACAGCAAAATTGCCTTATGGCCAATTAGCTATGTGGTGAAAATGTGTGCAGCAAAAATGCTTGTGGCAGTGATGTCTATGGCTAAGATGCTTACAGGAAAGTACCTAGAACCTCCTATTAGCTTTGCTCCCTACTTCATGCTTTGCTCTTACGCTCACGGCACAATAAGATGTAACTCCGGAGTCTTCTGGAGCCCCCTCTGCCACCTGCAGCTCTGTATCTCATGAACAAAATGGCCATAGTGACAGGGATGGAGGTTTTTCATGGGCTCAGCAATATGGATTCTCACCCACCAAGGCTGATCTGGTTAAAGCAACTGCTTGGTGCTTTACCTGCTAATAGGAGGGACCAACTGTGAGACCCTAACGTGGTGCCATTCCCCAAGGGACCAGCCTGGTGGCAGTGATTACATTGAATCGTTTCTATCATAGAAGGGGCAGTTCTTTGTTCTCATTGGAATAGACACTTACCCCAGATATGGATTTGCCTTCCCTGCTGACAGCACTTCTGCCAAAACCATCATGGATTCACAGAAGGCCTTATTCACCACCACAGTGTTCCACACAGCATTACCTCTGACCAAGGAACACATCTGAGAGCCAATGAAGATCAACGATGGGCTCATGCCTATTAAGTTCACTGGCCTCACAATGTTCTCCATCTCCTTCAAGCAGTTGGCCTGATAGAATTCTGGAATAAGCCTTTTGAAGACTCTTTATGGCACTAGCTGCATGGTAGCAATTTGTGGGGCTGGAGCAACATCTTCCAGGATGCAGTAACTATGCTACATCAGTGAACAGTAAATGGTACTGGTTTTCTCCATAGCCGAGATTCACTGGTCTGGGAATGAGCTCTTCTTACTACTATCATAAGGATTCCAGAGCAAATGTCTTGCAGCCTGCCCCAGTGACTGGAACTCCCTTGGTCTAGAAGATTTAGAACCCAAGGAAGAAGTGCTCCCTCCAGGGGATACAGAAGTGGGTCAACTAGATGGAAAATGAAGCTGCTTCCTGGTCTCCTTGGACTCCTCATACCAGCGAACCAGCAAGAAAGGGAGTTTCTGTGCTGGCTAGGTGATTGATTTTAAATATGAAAGAGAAATTGGATTGTTACTACATGATGGAGGTCAGAGGAGTATGTCTGCGTCTCAGTCCATTCAGGCTACTATAATAAAATACCATAGACTGAGAGGCTTACAAACTACAGAAATTTATTTCTCATGGTCCTGGAGGTTGGTAAGAATATGACCAATATACCAGCAGAGTCATTATCTGGTGAGGGCCTGTCTCCTTATTCACAGATGGCCATCTTCTCACTGTGTCTTCACATGGCAGAAGGAACAAGAGAGCTCTCTAGGGTGTCTTTCATAAGGGCAGTAATCCCATTCATGAAGGTTCTGCCCTCATGACTTAATCACCTCTCAAAGGTCCCA